AGCTTCGGGAAACCAGTAGTGGTTAGTGCTCAGGGACGCCCAACAACCCACATTGTGAAAGTCCCAACAGCTAAGTGTAAAATGAAAAGCTCACATCATGTCTACATGACAGGAAAACTGGATGACCAAAAGTGCATTGTGGATTTTATCCATTCCATATTGGTTGCACATACCATTAACATGCATTGTTAAATTTTATCCATACTATATTGGTTTCAAATACTATTAACATGCATGGCGGATTTTATTCATTCTATGTTCGTATCACATACTACTAACGTACACGGCGGATTTTGTTCATTCTATATTGGCTTCAAGTACTATTAACATACATGGCGGATTTTATTCATTCTATATTCGTATCACATACTACTAACGTACACGGCGGATTTTGTTCATTCTATATTGGCTTCAAGTACTATTAACATGCATGGTGGATTTTATTCATTCTGTATCGGTTTCAAATACGATTAACGTGCATGGTGGATTTTATTCATTGTACACTAATGTACACGGCGGATTTTGTTCATTCTATATTGGCTTCAAATACTATTAACATGCACGGTGGATTTTATTCATTCTGTATTGGTTTCAAATACGATTAACGTGCACGGTGGATTTTATTCATTCTATATTCGTATCACATACTACTAACGTACACGGCGGATTTTGTTCATTCTATATTCGTATCACATACTAATAACGTACACGGCGGATTTTGTTCATTCTATATTGGCTTCAAATACTATTAACGTGCACGGTGGATTTTATTCATTCTATATATTGGTTTCTCATACTATTAACGTGCACTGTGGATTTTATTCATTCTATATTGTTTCATATACTATTAACGAGCATTGTGGATTTAATCCAATCTATATTGGTTTTACATACTATTAATGTGCATTGTGTATTTTAACCATTCTATATTGGTTACATATACTATTAACATTCATGGTGGAGTTTATTCATTCTACATTGGTTTCATATATAATTAACGTGCATGGTGGATTTTATTCATTCTATATTGGTTTCATATACTATTAACGTGCATGGCGGATTTTATTCATTCTATATTGGTTTCACTGTTAACATGCATAGTGTATTTTACTCATTCTATATTGGTTTCACATACTAGTGACATGGATCGTGAATTTTATTCATTCTATATTAGTTTCATATACTATTAACGTGCATGGTGGATTTTTTTCATTCTATATTGGTTTCACATACTATTAACATGCACGGTGGATTTTATTCATTCTGATATTGGTTTCTCATACTATTAACGTGCACTGTGGATTTTATTCATTCTATATTCATACCACATACTACTAACATGCATGGTGGATTTTGTTCATTCTATATTGGCTTCAAATACTAAAAACATGCATGGCGGATTTTGTTCATTCTATATTGGCTTCAAGTACTAGTAACATGGATGGTGAATTTTATTCATTTTATATTAGTTTCACATACTATTAACGTGCATGGTGGATTTTATTCATTCTATATTGGTTTCACATACTAGTAACATGGATGGTGAATTTTATTCATTCTATATTAGTTTCATATACTATTAACATGCATGGTGGATTTTATTCGTTTTATATTGGTTTCACATACTATTAACATGCATGGTGGATTTTATTCGTTCTATATTGTTTTCACATACTATTAACATGCATTGTGGATTTTATTCATTCTATATTGTTTTCACATACTATTAACATGCATTGTGGATTTTATTCATTCTATATTGTTTTCACATACTATTAACAT